TTAATTAATTAATGAAAAAGTTCTTAATTCATGTTTTTCATGTGCATAAAGAAATCCAAGGAGATCAGGCTACACAGACGCAGCACAGCCATGCCAGGTGTTAGTGCGTCCAGGTTATAGAGCATCCAGGTAATGGAACCTCCAGGTGGATAAGACTGCAGACAGGCAGCAGATGAACCCTGGCAGTTTGGTGACTATGAAGGGAGACAGTGTCCTATGCTTCAGAATCAACTGAATGATGTTGGCCATGGAAGCAGAGTGTGTTGTCAGATGAGGTCACATCACCAAAAGCACTTGTCACGACTCTCACATTTAAAGGAGTGGGTCAGGAAAGGGGAAGCAGGTGAGACATTGGCTCTTGGCAGAAGGGACCAAGAGGAATGTTCAGAGATAAAATCTACCTTGAGAGGTAAGAAATGCTTTCAGTTAGATAAGGGAGGAGACTGCACAACATTGTGAGTGTAGGAAAGGCTAGTGAACAGATTATATCAAAACATTTAATGTGATGATCATAAATTTTCATCCTCTAAACTGTATGAAATTCATCTTTTTAAATTATTTTTAAAGTAACAGAGTTAGTGGCTGGGGAGATTTAGGTAAAGCTTCCTCCATGCAAGTATGGGAATCTCAGTTTGGATCTCCTAAACCAGACAGCAGTACACATCCATAATCCAAGTGTTAGTATGGCAGGATGGCAGGTGGAAACAGATGAGCTGCCAGTTTACAAGGCAGCTAACCTAAAATACAGAAGATCAAACAAGAGAAGCCTAGGCAGTTTGGATGCTCACCTTACTAGACCTGGATGGAGGTGGGAGGTCCTTGGACTTCCCACAGGGCAGGGAACCCTGATTGCTCTTTGGGCTGACGAGGGAGGGGGACTTGATTGGGGGAGGGGGAGGGAAATGGGAGGCGGTGGCGGGGAAGAGACAGAAATCTTTAATAAATAAATAAATAAATAAATAAATAAATAAATAAATAAGGTCAAACAAGAGACCCTTCCCCAAAGAAGACAAAAGGTAAGAGGGGATATTTATCCTCTGGCCTACACACACGTACTAAGCACACTAGTACACATAAACACAAGCACACACACACACATGTGGGATAAGGAGTTGTCATTATGAAAGGGAACCTCAAGGATCCCTATTTGTGACCATATGTTGTAATTTGGGGTCTTATTTAAATAGTGTACATATGACCAATTAAAGGGACACAAGACATTGTAACACTGAGGATATTACAGACACCAGAAACATGCTTCTGTTTTATAAGTAAATATGCTAGCAAACTGAGCCAGCCACAGATACCTATAGAAATCTGATTTTGATACCATTTAAGATGTTCTTCTTCAATGACTCTGCAGCTCTTAGATGCCACTGGCATATTCTGAATAGCACTTCCAGGATGGTCATCTGCAGGGCCAGCTTTTGTGTACTTTTCTTGTTTCTGAACATTTTCTGAAGAGACAATTTTCCTCAAGTTTTCCTTCCTTCAAAGACTAAACCCGAAATGGGTGTTAGTTCAAAATGTCTATAAGCTATCCTGATTACTCATGATAAGGGTTTAAATGATGTGTAAACATTGGAAACAGTTTGTCTTGGGTGATTGCATTGTGGTTCTTCCAGGACCCAGGATTAAAAGTCCATTCTCACCAAAATGGAGATGCTCTGGTAGGAAATAGCTTAACAACAGTGCATTCATGCATGTTTCTTCTACATGAAAATCATTTCCTCGGATGTAGGGGTCATTACCTTCAAAGCACAGAATCTACTAAAGTTATCTGTGAACACTCCAAACTCTTTATCCAAAGAAGTTGGTTTCTACAGTTCAAAGCCTTGGCAGGGTTCTAGTAAGTGCATTAAGCTTTAACATTCTGCTGTTGTTTCAGTTATGAACTGAGCTCTGCAATTCAATTCCTGCAAAGTATAAACACCTAAGAAGCACTTTGCTGATGCCCAAACTTGTTTGCGAATTCAGGGATCTGTCAGACTCATTTCTGTACCACAGAATGGTACATTCTTCATTCCTTGTTACTTGACTAAAGCACACTGGTAGAGGAACTGAAATAGATAGCATTCTTCTCTCAATTACTATTTGAACCAGCCCAAAACTGATCCTAATAGAAGTGTTTATTATGTGCTTCCATATCTGGACTGCCTTTGATCATACGAGTGGGAAATTTGTCTTGGTCAGCATGTAGAAAAAGGCTACCGAAGGTCACCCTGATAAAGAACAAAAAGAAATTTCATAAAAATGTTTAAAGCAATAAGGATAATTTTAAGTCTGGTGTTTGGGTTTTAATTAAATATTTAGAAGGCAAAAGTAAAATAAATTTATAACCATTTAAATATTTGGGATAGGTTAACTTAAATACATACTTGATTTAAGCCTAGAAATATTATAAACATATTTAGGACAATTATGATTTTCAATATTTATATGAATATGAAATAACAAAAAGCTTGAGAAAAATAACAAGTTTAAGAAATAAAGTATAAATTAAAGAATGCCTCATGGAACTGAAGACTTTATCCATGCCTATGTATCTGTAAAATGCCACACACAGAGAAGATGACATATTCTTTGGGGTGAGTGGATGAACCTGGCTACTCTATTGTGTCTCCTTTAACCAATGCTAAAGATAATTATCTACCTGAGACCAGAACTCTAGATGGTCTGAGACTTCAGCTACTTTAAGATTATTCGTAGGGTCATGCTGATAGGTAATAGCTAGACATTAGTTTCATTCCATGTCTCTTAGGCAGGAGAGTCATAGTAGTTCTTCTCTTGGGCCTATGACATATCCAGTCGCAGACTCTTGGCCCAACAATAGTGCCAAGTACAGGTTTCATTGTGTGGACCATGGCTTAAATCAAATTACAGTTACTTTGTTATTGGATAACCTCTCAGGGCCTCATCTTTGGAGAAGACTGACTCCCCTCAGAAGATGTTGATTGCCTACAGCTCTTCATCTAAGATGAGGCCCTGTGAGATTTCCCTCTTCCATGCTGGCATGCCAATTAGTGTTGTCATTGTACAGTACAGGTCTTGTTTAGGCAACCACATTATTGAGATTTCATAAATGCAGCTTCCCTGGTTTATATAGAAGAGATGTTCTGAATACACAAAAAAGCTAACAAGCTAATGGACTGGGCTCCTTGGTGGAATCCATGAGAGGATTCCAGCAGGAGAGGTGAGAAGGAAGGTTCTATCAGCAGAGGTGAGAAGGACATCCCAAGTTGCTTACTCTGAATTTCAATATGGAGGCAAGCTGAGAGTCCATAAACAGTTAACAAAAAAAAAAACTATGATTAATATTTACCATGGAAAATTTTAGATATAAAGGCAAATAATGTCACATTGTTAAATATGTCATATTCACTTATTTATAGATCACAGAGAGTGAGATGCACAGAGATAAGTTAGAGGAAATACAGGCAGAAAAAAAAAAACCATGGCCCTAAGCTAGAGAACATTTTTCATGACCTCAGCGCATACATGGGAACTACTGGTTCATACTTACTTGGGGTCCATTTTCTATTTAAAATTAAAATGTGAATTGCAAGCCTATAAGTTCTCAACAGCTTTAAAACTGATATTTTGTTGACTTTCTTACTGCTGTCTATACCCCATATCATAACATATAAATAAAATAAAAACAATTAATAAAGGCTGATGCTGGATTTTAGGGTACTTTTGTTTGCTGGTGCTTTAACCAAACAGAGACAATTCTGAACCAAAGATGCTCAGAATCTCTGCAAGCAATAATTGCCTGAGATGGCCAGGTTACAGTTTACAGTCTACAGTTTTCTGTATCTTTTGTGCCATTTAAGCACTTTAAGCATGTCTACACATTAGAGTACTACTTGGTAGTAAAAAAACCGACATCTTGAATTTTGCATGCAAATGGATGGAAATAAAAAACACTGTCCTGAACGAGATAACTCAGACCCAAAAATATGAATATGAACCTTTGTCCAGCGACTAATGGAGATAGAGACAGAGACCCACATTGGAGCCCGGGACTTAGCTCCCAAGGTCTAGTTGAAGGGCAGGAGGGAGAATATGAGCAAGGAAATCATGACCAGGAGGGGTTGGTCCACCCACTGAGACAGTGTGCTGGACTGGAACTAAATGAGCATGGGATCAAACTGGACATTCTGAATGTAGCTGACAATTGGGGAAGTCTGAGAAGCCAATGATAATGCCACTGGGATTTTCTCTACTGCATGTACTGGCTTTTTGGGATCCTATTCTATTTGGATGCATATCTTCCTAAGCCTGGATGGAGGAGGGAGGGCCTTGGACTTATCACAGGGCAGGGTACCCTGCCCTCCCTTAGGACTGGAGGGGGAGGGGGCAAGGTGGGGGGGAAGCAGGAGGGAAGTGTGAGGAGAGGAGGAAGTGGAGATTTTGAATGGCATTATTTGTAAAGTAATTTTAAAAAGACTTTAAGTGAAGTTTGAACGCCACCTGGTGGGAAGATATTTGAGACCCAGGCTAAAGTCCCGATCCTAGGCTGACAATAAAGCCTTTTGGACGAGGATAGAAATTACATTAAACAACAACAACCAAACAAAAAATACAGATAAAACAGCTTCGACAAATGTGCTAAAACAGACAGGTCATTGTACTCTTGAACACATGGTGGTTGTGGTTAACTACAGAAGACCTGCACAAGACAAAGCCAGTCAACATTACAGCATGAATGCAGGGGCACAGAAGTCACCTTTGTAAGAGGAGCTACTAGCAGACGATGCCTGCTGGTGGAAGGTGCAGTTTTCCCCAGAGGTAGATTAGCTCCTGATAGACTGACTCTGTCCCCAGAGAATGGCTCCACACTTGTGTGCATATGGGCAGCATTAACTGGATTCAGTGAGGAACAATAAATTTAAAAGTGCATGGAATTGGGAGGAGGATGTACATGAATGCAGATCTGAGGAGCCATAGGGGAGAGTAATTTGAATATTACCATAACATACAGTACAAATACAGGAAAATTTTAAACAATAAAATTTATTTTAAAAACTTAAGTTGAACAAAAATCTTGTGAGATTGCCTTTATTAAGCGTCACATTTTAATTCCATCTGGGCATTCTAGAAACCATTTCACAACACTCAGAGGGAATAACCATAGGAAACAGAACAACTTACTCTGTAGTCATTAGGCATACAAAGGGTCACGGAGGGAGAGAACTTAAATCACTACTGGTCCCCCATACCAAGGAAATATTCTAAACAAGTGTCTACACTGGAAAGCACCTAATCATGGCAGAGTCACAAGGAGCAGGTACCTAAATCAATCCTTTTCATATGCACTAGGAATTGGGGTCACATATTAGAAGGCTAGTGATTCTTTCAGATCAAGCTACATGTTTTCTACGTGTGACATTAATACTGATGAATCACTTTTTTAAAAAGTCAGTAAGAAAGAGTCACTGTATTGGTGACTATAGGTGATGTGTCCAATTGCTTAATGGTTTCTCATCACTTTGCTGGCTTCTTTATGAGTTCTTCTGAGATATTTTCATTGCAACTGTCTTGAGCTCAGTGTATTCATACATGCCATGCTCACCCCTACAGAGGAAAGAAAAATGCATAGAAACATAATTGCGCACTGAAAATAATTTGGTACAAGATTTTTTTTTTTTTTGCTTATCTGAGTAGGGACAATGAAAATATGTACTGAATACTGAGTGGTTCATATAGTTGCTAGCTGACAATAAGCTTTATGACCAAACATAAATTCTCCAATGAAGAAAAAAATTCATAAACATGTCTTTTATTTGAAATAATTATGTGCTCGGCTTATTTTCAGAGGAGAAATCCACTGTTTAAATTAGTTTATTTGGCCATATGACTAATTTATAATTCAATCTGATTATATTTCATTGGACCAATGAATAAGGAGAAGACGTTCACATTGCTTCACTTGAGCCTGCATTCACAATCTGCATTGTCACAGACAGGTAGAAGATGACCCAGATCCTTCCTCCTCCATCATGGTTCTGTTCTTCTGAAGCTGTACTTTTAACAGGAACTTTTTAATCTAGCCCAAACAACCCCTAATCTTCATAGGTAGGATTTTGTTTCTTTGTTTCTTTTTGTTTTCTTTAATTTTGTTTTTTAGAATATTTGTATTTTCTTTTAAGCAGGAAAATACTAAAAATTTGCTTGTTGCAGGCTTTTGAGATTTCAGCAAATGTTGGTTTTCTCTATTATTCAATGTTAACAATACACTTCAAAATTTTCAAGTCAGTCTCAAGTGATCAGAAGCTGAGTTGAGTCCATGTGTAGATGCCACAGTAATTTATTAGGTTTCTACCTGAGGCCAATTTTGGAAATCATGATTTCTTTCCACACGATGGATGATTTAATTGATAAGGACCACACTCAATTGTGATCTCCATTATTTGAATAAGATCACATTGCATGTATATAGGACTATTTCCAGGATCATGAAACCTATACACACACAGGTTTGCAAAGGAGCTGGTTTCTGATAATTCTTTACCTATCTGCTCCAGATTCAGTTTTGTATATAGACAATGTCTTATTCTCCTAAGCAATCAATAATGCCGTATATTGGTAGCTTGTGTGGATAATTTAAACTTTTGGAACTAGCTCTTAAAAATCTCAAAATCATGTTTTTCAACATAATTAAATGGCTTGACCAAGCTGTCTAAAGTCCGTAAAATGTACTGTTTTAATAAGTAGTTCATATCAAAGAGGCAGACAACTTAGTCTATAATTTTGACCAAGTTTCTTTCCATTGTATTTAGGGTTACTAGGACACTGGACACTAACAGAATTCTATGTGTATTGTCACACCCAGGCTGACCTGAGCCATCTTCCTCAGAAACACTATATAAATAATTTTAATGCAGACCACAAGAGCATCTACCTCCTTAAATTTCTTCCTAGCTAAGAAAAGTCTATACATCACTGTCTCTGACTTCTAAGTCTTCTGCATACCAATCATCCCCTTGGCTCGTCATCAAGTGTTGATTCTGACTAAGCAGATCTGAGTGATCTCTGGTAAGCCTGCACATAGCATCCTTGCTTCTCATGACAGACCACCCAATGCATAAAACAGTATGAGACTAAGCTATGTCTGCTTCACCCCTGGTGTCAAGAGATGAGCCTTAATGAAAGTTCAGGGAAACATTTGCTAAGCTGATTTGACAAATACAATCAAGAAAATAAAATTCATCTGAATTTACTATTTGGGATTCTTAGGAAACCATGTTTTCAAATTCATTAATTTGGCTTTTCTGCCTTTGAAAATAACTCATAACTCTTGAATGGAGTCATTCTAGGTAATTGTCTCAGTAATTCTCTGGGGATATTTTGCAGCAAATGCTTTATTTAACAGATGTTTAAATAGATGTTATTAGGTAGACTTCACCACAAGCAAATCAACTTGTGATGAGGCAACTTTAAGTTATTTAAGAGATATATTCAAATATCTTGAGTGTTTCAATATTTATTTTCATTCATCTCAATGTTTACCATTTTACCTGCTTTCTGAAAATAGTTTCTAATTGCATATACCATAGGAAATCCTAAAAACAGGCAACAATTTATTTACCAAGATGGTGTACCTACCATGGCCCTGAATGGGTAGTAGGAGCTTAATTAAGTATAATCCATCTGCTGTTGCTCTTCTGCACTTAGAAAGTACTTCCAACATGTAAAAAAACTATTTCATGCTAAATATAGGTGTAGTTTACCCCCATAGTAGTGAAAACAGAACAGTTTCTTGGGAGTGGCAATTCTTATCACTAAATATGTATGCATTGTAATATAAAGTTTAGCTTACAGTTCTCGCCCATTTCCAGACATCTTGAATCCACCAAAAGGACACTGGACAGCCATAGCCAAATAGCAGTTCACCCTAAAACAAAGAAGAGGTGGCTACTGTAGGTAATACTTAGCACAACCATAATTTCTAAGCAGAAAATTTAAAAATTCAGAAATCGCCTTAAGTACTCCTTTGTTTTGGTCAAGTATGATCACTTAGATTAAAAGCGGCACTATAGGTGACGCCATCTCGGCGCGACTCTTCATTTCCTTAGAGTTCTCTGGCCGCTCCGCTTGAGCTATGCCGAAAGTCGTTTCCCGGTCGGTGGTCTGCTCTGACACCCGGGATCGCGAGGAATATGATGACGGCGAGAAGCCACTCCATGTCTACTACTGTTTGTGCGGCCAGATGGTCCTGGTGCTGGATTGTCAATTAGAGAAATTGCCTATGAGGCCTCGGGACCGGTCTCGCGTGATTGATGCTGCCAAACACGCTCATAAGTTTTGTAACACCGAAGATGAGGAGACTACCTATCTTCGGAGGCCTGAGGGCATTGAACGTCAATACAGAAAGAAGTGTGCAAAGTGTGGGCTTCCGCTCTTCTACCAGTCCCAGCCGAAGAATGCGCCTGTGACGTTCATCGTGGATGGAGCAGTAGTGAAATTTGGTCAAGGCTTTGGGAAAACCAATATATATACTCAGAAGCAAGAGCCTCCTAAGAAGGTGATGATGACCAAACGGACTAAAGACATGGGCAAGTTCAGCTCTGTTACTGTCTCTACCATTGATGAGGAAGAAGAAGAGATAGAGGCTAGGGAAGTTGCCGACTCCTATGCACAGAATGCCAAAGTGATTGAAAAACAGCTGGAGCGCAAAGGCATGAGCAAGAGGCGACTGCAAGAGCTGGCTGAATTGGAAGCCAAGAAAGCAAAAATGAAAGGGACTCTGATCGACAACCAGTTCAAATAATTCAGATCTTTCTGAGTTGAGACTGGAGGCCGGCACTTAAATCAAGACGAAAGAGCTTCTTGATTTCATGGTCTAGTTTCTAAGTCCCAGAAAGAATCATTCTGACCATCCCATTGAGTTTCCTGAATTGCTGTTCTTGTCTTTCACTAAATTCCTTGACTCTATTTCACTTGCTTTCTAGGAGGTAGATTGTTTTCAAAATCTTTGTATAAGTAAGTTTTCTGTCTTACTTGTCTTTGAGACAAGTTCCTGGTACACACTGGAGGACGGCCCTGAACCTATAATCCTCCTGTCTTAGCCCCTCCAGTGCTGTAACTGCAGGAATGCACCACCGTGCCTGGCTTTCCAGTCAGTCCTCTTCTGTGATATCTTTAGGGCTATATAAGTCTCTAGTTTCTAAGGTTGATGGTTCTTTATGTCTTCTTCAAAGCTAATAACTGTTTTAAATTTTTTGAAAAAATATGGTATGGGAGGAAAGTTGGAGGAATTAAAATTAATTCCTTCTAATTCTTAAAAGGTGGATCCTTTTAAGAGATTCTGTCTCTGATCTTCGAACTGCCCTTAGAATTAACTAGGGTTTGAATCATTCTCTTGTAGGTAGAAATCAGTTAGAAACCCGAATCTGCAGAAATATTTCTTTACTTAAAAATAATAGAGTTATATGTGAGCCATGCCATATGAAACTACAGAATTAAAGAAGGAAAAGCCATGTGGCTGGGGGTGTAGCTCAGTAATGGAGTACATGCTAGGCATGTGTGAGGACATCCCCAGCACCAAAAACAAAAAAAGAGAAAGAGCCAGGCTGCAGATGCAGGGGTAAGGTAGCTCAGGTCTGAATGAAAATATGGCCTTGCTAAGTAACCCAAAGGAGCTAGTCAGTCAGCTGGGAAAATTACTGTGTGAGTACACAGGAGGGGGCGTAGTGAGAGTAGATATCTGTTGGGTGTCTTGTTTTCCAGTTGCTATTTGCAGAAGCCTGTTTGAGGTGTGTCATTCCTTCAGTGATGTCAGTATCCACGTGGTTCTTCCCACATTCCTATCTGTTTGCCTGTATTGCAAGGCATGAGGAAACATGGAGTGTGTTGCCCTCCTGGTGTTATCTCTGACCAATTGCACTTTTAAGACTTGTTTGTGAGGTGCTGCCAGGAAGTCATTTTCTTTGCCTTTTCTGATTTCATTACTTGCAGGGAAAAGTAGGCTAGAGTGGAGGTACAGTTGAGCTAGCAAAAACTGGGCCAAAGAGGATTGGGACTGTTGGGAATGCAAACTAGTACGTGTTACCACCTTCCCAGTGACTCCGCAGCCAGTGAATGGGATCTGCCTTTGGCTAATTCTTCACCTCCTTTCCTCTCCTTTAACATTGTATGAATGACCAAATGTGTCCACCAGACAATGACCTCTGACTTTACTCCACTTTATCCCCAAATTCCTATGTGCACAGCTTGGATATGCTTACACCACCTCAGACATTCAGGCTTCTAGTCTCTGGCCACAGCCTCTAATTATTGCTAGTCTCACGGACTTACTTCCTTGTAGACCTTTTTAGGTGTGTGTTTAGACTTGAGGGGAGCTTAATTTGTTAGTAATAATGAAACCTAATGGTAATAGCAGCATTAATACTCATTACTCTCCACTGAGTACTTGGTGTGTGTCAGATGCTGTGGAAAGCACTTTAGAGGTATTGGCTCTCTCGGACAATACCTCCTATGATAGTTAACTCTTGTCATCACCTTTTTCAAATGAATACCCCTGAAGCTCAGACTTCAAGTTCCCCAAGAGCCACTGGCCAGGAATTGGGAAAGCCAAAAATCTGACTTTAAAACTCAAGCTCTACTATGCTGAACTGCTTCTCCTGTGGAATCTTTATTTATATGTATGTATAGTTAGATCAGAACATAATCATTTTGAAAAATCAAGTGACGTGCAATGTAAAAATACTCAGCTAGAGAACCCCTAAAGCAATTCTGTGGTTATACTTCTACATATCTTCTGAAATAGTTAGATAAATGCCAATCATTTAAACTTCTGGCTCAAGTTACAAATTTTGCTTCCTCTATAAGGATATGAAAGATCATGTCATTAATATCAAGTGAGTGTGTACATTTCATTTTTCTCTTTTTATTAAAAATTATTGAAACAATATGATGTACTTTCTCTATTAATTTTAATAAAAAGAGCCATATTGAAATTTTGGAAAAAAAAGCGGCACTACACTCTAGAATACAGAAAGCATCCACATATATTACCTAGAAATAAATGATACAACTATGAGTGTAAATTTATGTGCATGCACGTATGCATACTCACACACGCTTAGTTTGAATCATGGCAGAGGAAAGAACAAATATGCCATAAAAGGAAGTGTCTGAGGCTGAGATTGAATGGAGTTCTTTAATGGTTTATATGCATGAAGCCTTGTGGCAATGTTGAAATTTATACATTCAGCAGTCTAATCAACTCTCTTCAGCAATTATTATATGTGTCAATACTTAATTTGTTTATTCATTGATAAGTAGACAGTTTAAACAGAAGCGGTGGCAGGAATCGAGCCTATTTATCAGTCTAGTAACCAGTTTTTAGAAATAATTTGAAGATGTTTCTAACAAACACACAGTAAAAAGTGTGACTATAACTAGAGAGAAGGTCATTGTAAATCAAGGCGATGGGAGAGGGTGATTGGAGGGCAGTTCTACAGGCTGTGAACAACTACTGTAATGTGAATGAGAGAGAATAATGTTCTATATTTGATAGAGCTGCTATTGACCTCTTACAGATTCTTAATAAAAAATACATGGGACACAGTAAGTCTTTAGCAGATGTAGAATATGAATATATATGAGTTAGTAATGCTGAATTTACTAGGATTTTTATCAAGGGAAAATCTATATTGATCATCGGTTATACTAACTAGATGGAACTTTGAGAGACTTTGGTGGAAATGCCATGATAAGAAAAAAAAACAGGCTTTTAGTGATGATTGTATATTACTACTTTACAGCAGTTTTAATATGTTTCATTGAGTAAAAAAACCTTTGCTCAGAGTAAACCCCAGAGACAGGGTGATTAAGATATCTCATTCTTAATCGCATTCCTCATTTGGTTGTTCAGATATATTTTTCACTCATCTAATTTATGTGCATGAGTGTGTATGTATGAATGTGTGTGTGTTTATGCGTTCATGGGGAAGATACAAGGAGGTCAGAGAAGAGATGAAGGTAAAGTATTATTTTTTCTTTTTTCTGTTCTGCTCCTATCTTTCAGGCCCACCAATTTTGCTAAATTGCCTAACCAGTGAAGTGCAGGGATTCTTCTGTCTCAGAACACAGTGGTAAACTTCCAAGCTCAAGCTACCATATCTTGTTTTTACTTGGAAGCGAGAATGAGACTCCGTTTCTTACTCTTGCACACCAAGTACATTCCTTGTTGAGCCATCTCTCTAGCCCCATATTACAAGTACTTAAGCTCTCAATGATATAGGATTTGTATTCTTCTCTGAAATTCAGTGAATCAGAAGTGTTTCAGTTTGAGTTTTTTTTCAGGCTATGGATTATTCACATTGACTTTACTAGTTGAAAATCCATATTTGAAAATACAAAATTTAAAATACCCCAGAATACAAACTGGCTTAGCATTACGTTGGCATATTTCACAGCATTTGGGTTTGTCATTTTACTGTTAAGCTGGCTAAACTCACACTAAATAGACACATGTGGAGAAGGATGTCTTAGAGCATATAGCTCTCACTTTGCTAATCATTGTATGCTCTTGATAAGTTTATAAATCTCAGCAAGATTTTATCACAGACAAGATTTGGGATGACAAAGAGTAGTTGTTGAGTAAGATAAAATGTTGAGTGTAAGAAATACATTACAATTTTGAGTTAATGGTAACTAGATGATGACTCTCACTTTGATAGGAGGAAAAGGTGTTTCAAGAACTGCCTCGTTGTGTCCCTTAGGATGCTTTTCAGTGTCTAGTTTTCTTTAACTGGACTAGGTGAGAGAATGAAAAAACAGCTTGTGCTGTTTCCAGGACTGAGGGAAGGGAGGCTTGATAAGAAAAAGGCTGCTGCGGAAACAGTCCATAGAAAGGAAGTGATGGGCAAAGATTCAGGGTGAGAGGAATAGCCTGAGAATTTGTATTAAAGTTAAATTACAAAAATCAAAGAACAAACTAAGTCAAAATCTAGAGAAAGGGCTGGAGAGATAGCTCAGTGTTAACTATCTTTGCTGCTCTAACAGAGGACTTGAGCTGGGCCCCAGTACCCATATGCTGTGGATTCCACCTAACTGTCTACAACTCCACTTCCAACAGATTGTATACCCTTTTCTGGCTTCTGCATACACCAGGCACTCACATGGAGCACAGATGTACATGCAAGCAAAATACACATGCACATATATTAATTTACAAAAATAATGAAATAGCACTAAGTCTATGGACATAGACCTGCGATCCCAGCCTCTCAGAAGCGTTTTGCAGGAGGATGAGAAGTGGGCCACAGAGTGAGTTCAAGGTCAGACTGAGAAACTGAGCTCTTATCTTGTATTAAACAGTAAAAAGCAGACTAGGATAGAGCTCACAAGTAGAGCATATGCTCAGCTAATGTAATACCTTCGGTTCAATTTCAAATATGGTAAACGATAGTAATAGCAATAATATCTAGTGCATATAAGGTACTAATATACATTATCTAATGTATAGTGGATTATAACAGAATTTTACTTTCATCTTCCTGTTTATATAGCAGAGTACCAAGTACCCTGGCATTATCTAATAATACATATATTATATAAATCAAAGAGCCATAAAATGGTCAATATTCTACGTAAGTAACTTGCAAAGTGAAAGACGATAATTTGTTTTTATTTTTTATGTATAGAAACTATCTTTCTAGCAGGTCAGATAATTTCTAGGAAAGTTTAAGTCTAGAGGAAGGCAACTCAGCCTGCCCATTTGGCTGATACAGGAAGGGCACAACTTACTTCAGATGCACTTACCACACTAGCCCAGCCTGCAGAGCAGAAGATACAGTGAGGGCCTTATCCAGGTCTTTTGTAAAGACTCCAGCTGCCAGGCCATAGGAGGTGTTGTTCGCTCTCTTGATCACATCATCTATAGATTTAAACTTCATGATTTGTTGCACTGGTCCAAATATCTACACAGAAGTGACACAAACACAGGTTTACACTATACACATTGTATATGCTTTAAATACCCTTCCTGTGCTTTCTTAGAAGCCATTCTCCGTGGAGTAAGGTGTTGCCTCTATCATTTATCCTATGTGTAAGGATAAAAAACAGATAGCCATTCATGTGAAGCCAGAAAAATGTTCTGATCGTGTGTGATTTTTTTTTTTACAGAGTAGACACAGGTCATCATGGCAGTATTTGGTGACATGAGAATATAAGAAGGTTTCATACAAACTGCTGTTTATTCACTATGGAAGAAAAGCATAGCAATGATTGAACACATTTGTCTGGGAAGCATAGCAAAGCTAACACAGTCAATGGGAAGCAGGTGGAGCAGGAAGACAGGGGGTTTGCTCAGAGTTGTAGCAACTTAGCTGACATTGTAAGGGCTCCAGGCTCCTATTGGGAAGCAGCCAACGAGATATTCCAGTGAGCACACTAGAGGAACACAATAAGTGTTTCCTTGAATGAAGATTATTTTCTGCTTTCTTGTTCTTTGTAGAAATATTAACCAAAATTCATAAGAGCAATAAATCTGATCGAAGAAGAATTGACCAATAAGTGCAGAAATGCAAATGCAGTTGAGTGCTGAATTGATGCAGATGTCCTAAGTGTGTTGGATGATCCACATATATTTTATTTTTATTTCTTCTCTTTATTTCATCTCCCCGCAAAGCTGGATAGTCCCCCTTTCTCTTTACTTGTTTACATTATGGAGGTAAAGAACATAACGTCTCAGATCCTCTGCCATATCAGGGACATGTGTATAGATGCATTGAATGCTGAAATTATGAATGTTTTGAGTCACTGTATTTTCCTATTTTAATGTAGTACTTGACACTTTCATCATCTGAGGCAAGTGCTCATATCTCTGCATATATTAAAAGCCCTCATACTTCTGAAGAATATTAGCTACCATTTTTATCACAAACTAGTTCCTCTTAATTATATGTTGAATATCTGGGTACCATCATTATTGATGCTACCTAGATTGTGCTCCTCAGGACTCATCTTCCCTTCCCTTACATAGCCAGTCCACTCTGTCTCTCTTGGTTGACTTTTATATGTGAATAATATAGATAATGCAGTGGATGCTGTTCCGTGCCTGGCAAATGTAACACAATATGTCCACATTTATTCCTATTTTTACAAAGGACAGGGTCATTTCTCATTCCTTTAAACCTGTAAATTAAGCACCTACAAAAGCTGCTGTGGACTTTGTTCTGGGTTTGATATTAACTATTTGTAGCCCATTGTACTCCTCACTAATTAGTCTTCATCACAAATTACTTTAGACTTTATCATCAAGCATTTCAGGGGAATGCTACTCAAGAAGCGGGGGGGTTTAGGAGAACATACGAATTATGCACAGAACATGATAAGCCCAGAAATAGAAACAGGTAGGATCATTACCTCCTCTTTGGCAATGCGCATCTCATCGGTAACATTGGAGAACACTGTGGGCTGAACAAAGAAGCCTTTGTTCCCCCAGCGTCCACCACCACACTCCAGTTTGGCTCCTTCTTTCTTCCCACTCTCAATGAGATCAAGTATTTTGTCAAGTTGCTCCTTGTCAATCTAATTGAAAGAAATCACAAGAAAATGAGTGACAATAGAGACAACATATTTCAAATGAAGACTTCAAAGTACCAGGATATCCATATGAAATCCAGTGTTTCAGAATAGGTGACAGATACTCATCTAATTCTTCATTATGCTTTTTTTCTCATGAAATAGGAGGGAAAGTTTTATAAATAAAATATTCTTATATAAACTCTAATATGTATTATAAAATAAGTAACACACCTATTTTAACTGCTGAAAAACTCAAGTACAGTAATTTGATAATCATAAATGAACCTCCAAAATTGTAGAAGTTATTTCTCCTATACAAATATATATGGCTTTTGCCTTCCCCATATGTATTTGGTTGTGATACAGTATTAATTCCCAAACTCTGTTTTAAAAGAATTGATGACTAAACCAGCAATGGATGAACTGCTAGGCAAGTGTCTTCTCAATGACTCTTCCATAAACTCTTTCTGGTTACAGATAGAGAAAGATAAAGAGAGACAGAGAGAAGCATTGAGATAGAGAAAGATAAAGAGAGACAGAGAGAAGCATTGAGATGCTTGGAATTTCTCCCTAACGCTGGCCAAATTCCCAGCATGCCTGTCTATTCTACTTGCACAGCACTACTTGTCACAAGCAGCTATGAACTCACAAAGCCCTGTGCTAATAACCTAGAAAATGGGATTGTGTGATTGTGTGCTTTCAACTTCTATGAGTTAATGTTTTAAGTCTGTTTTAATGTATTCCCCCTTGTAAGTTATGAAATATTAAAACTTAGTTTTTGAGGCTATTGATTTCTTTCTGGGTGAAGGAAAATATAGTTCCTCATTCAGTATTATATATTACAGATTCCCATGGCTTCTCTTTTTCCTTATATCCTCTAAGTATGCACCACTGTGCTATCAGTATAGCATTTATCTGTCTTCCATTCATCTACTCTCACCATCTTCTATGTTTTTATTCATATATCTAATGATAAACATATTTCATGCTTATGTATACAGACCAATAGATACTTAGAATGAGGAACAGTAACAACAAAACCACTCAGAACTCTATATTTTTCAGGTCTATGAGAAACACAAATAGAAATCTGAAAAATTACCAATGTGAGGAAAATCATAACTACTTCTACATAATCTGTGAACAATAACAATGATATTGAACAACACAATAATTCTTTCATTTGACAGTTACCTTATTTGTGTCTTTGAGGTTTCACTACTCTGTATTATTTTTGTACTAAAGCTTTTCTATTTGTATACTTGTGCAAAGTAGAAAATTATAAGACATTTTGCAAGCCAATTATGTCCAGAGAAAGCAGTGACCTTGTCCTCTTTGGGTTTTTTGACTTTTCCAGGCTCCTTTCTTAGGGTACAAATGGTAGTAACATACTCTAAGTTTTTTTAATTGAATTAAAATTTTATTTATTAAATAATTCAAGAATGAAGTTTGGTTACAACTCAATGGTGAGGCACTTGGGGAGAGTGAACTCTTTGTTATGAGGTTGTCCTGTTCACTGTTGGGTGCTCAGTAGCATCCTTTCTTCTGCTCACTAGTTTAAGCAGATCCCTTTCAATTTAATCTATCTCCAGATAAGACAAATGGCCCCTATCGTGATATCCACAAGAAGGGGTAAGCTCAGAAGGTCCAAGAGTTTAAACAATCGTCAATGAGCAATAGTTGTCCAAGAGCAAAAGTTTATATTGGGGTGAGAGAGACAAACACATTCATATTTACAGTTGATGTAACTACAAAGAAGAAACTCAGAGACCCCATAGAATGACTGTATTTTGATAAATAGCAGAAACTTTTCTGGTCCAGAAACCAGGAACTTCAAAAACATGTACGTTATTGTTACATCAAATAAACTGAGGACCCTGAGAGGGTTAGGGAGTGCTCTACTGATTATAAAATGGCAACTGAGATGAAGGATTATGAGGTAAAATTTGCAGATTTTCCAGACTAAAAAATGGATGTAGGAATTAAGAATTTATCAATTAAAGAATTCAAGAAATAATATACCATTTTAAAATTTTCCTCCCTTTTTGTGTGTTACATGAGTGCAGTGTGCATGGGTGTGTGTTTACATGCATGCATATATAGGTAGGAGCAAATGCATGTACATGTGTGTGCACTTGCATGTGGAATAAGTGTATACAGGTGCATATACATGTATGTACATGTTTGCGGATGGCCAAAGGTTGATACTGAATGCCTTCCTCAATGGTTTTCATTTTTTCCTACTGAGGGAAGCTCTCTCACTGAACTCATAGCTCCAGTCTAACTACTCAGGTTTTATATGGGTGTTAGAATCAGAACTCTGGTCTTCGGGGCTCTGTGACAAATGTTTTCTGTGTTGATCCATCTCATAAGCCCTTCATTCTCTGCTTAAATCCAGCTATGGTTCCTAGAATGTTTCTAGATAGAAAGTAAAAAAAAAATGGCCAAGACAAAACAGATTGATCTTTGTTGTTTGAAAATAGTTTCATTAAATCACCAGATCAAAATAATATCAGCTACCAATGATCATAAAAAGAAGTTACTCTCACTTAACCAAAATTAGACCTAAAAAGATTAGTTTTACATCCAAAACACTTGCCTTTCTAATGTTTACTTACCTGAGGACCTTGATTTATTCCTGCATTCAGAGGATTTCCAAGAATGTATTTCTTAGCCCGCTCAACACTCCTTTTCACGAACTCGTCATAAATTGACTCCTCAACAAAAAGTCTGGATGCTGCTACACAAATCTGACCCTGATGGCAGAACACTCCTTGGTGTGCAAACTCAACAGCACTGTCCACTGCAAAGGAAACATTCACAGGAGAGAAAGAACGTTTTCTAAAGGATACGCGTGCGCACACACACACACACACACACACACACACACACACACACACATTTTTCAGATGCAATATGGTGATAGGAAAAATGATTAATCATCTAATGAGATATAGATTTAACACATTACACTGCATGGAAGCCATGAAACAATAGACCTCTTGATCCTTTATTTATGATGGAAATAATAACAAGGGAACTCCTACAATATGGTGCCTGTTATGACTTCTGAAGAGCGTACATTTAATTAGAAGATAAAATATCATTGCAAATAATTTTACAACTACTTCCATTTTATAATTCTTTAGTCAATTATATTTCTTTCAGGTTTCAGTTTTTAATTAACTAATAGAGAAAACTGAATTATCTATTGTCTTTAGTAATTTCAAACATTACTGAACACTTTTTTCAATAAAAAAATGTTGTCTTTCTGAAAGTGACATTCAAACAACTAATACTCACTACATCATAACAATTAACCCTCCCACCATTACTCCAGGAAAAATACTTCTAAAATTTAGCTAAAGCCTTAATCACACAAGCAAACTAAAATGTAGTTTAGATGGTCCAATATGTCTAGAGTTTTACATTAGAATATCTTTAATTTAATATTAAATGGAAAGAGAGAAAGAAATGACTTCACAGGCTCAATTTTTTTTCCTGGCCCTCTTGAGATGATGGTCCAGAGTGAAAGCAGAGGAAAAATTGGAACTTGCTGGCTACCATAATAAGATATATTTGGTTTCAAATGTCTCAAGTATCTTGTGACCTTGATACAATTACAGGTATGGAATTATCAAAAACACATCATATATTCTAGATGCAGCCCACTTATACTACCTCAGACTGACACTGGGAAGTAGCAATCTATCCCAACCCAGGACAAAATCTTCTCTGTGTTTATCAGCTGTGTGCTATAGGTACAGTTCGGAAGCTTTGCAGAATCATCACAGACTCTTGTCAATTCCTTTTTACTTTGAATTTATTTTTACTCCAGGTGAGTTGATATCATCAGACATCAGGAGGAAGAAGGTAAGACACTAGCAAGGGACTTGTACTCACAGTCAGCATCTGCAAACACAATGCAAGGACTCTTTCCCCCCAGCTCCAGGGTGACCCTCTTCAGATTGCTTTTCCCTGCAGCTTCTTTGATTAATTTGCCAACCTGAAAGCAAGCATCACAGAGAAGGAGGCTTAGTTTGTTTTCATGTGGATAGGATGTTTTAATACATTTCGTTTGTAAGACATTTACACAACCATTTAATTTTATTTGGATGAGATGAAAATTTTCATGGGCAGATATGAGAGCTGACTTCGTGTGTGAACAGATAAAAGATTATTTTCATTTTTGTCAGAACATCCTCTCTAGATTTGATCAGAAATATCCCCCAAGCACCTCATGTATTAACTTCTCATCATTTTAGTGACATTCAGGGAATTCTGTCCAGTCAAAATAGTATTCTGTCCATCATCTAGATCTCAACCCTCTTCCTCCTTTTTATTATACCCTCCCAGCCTGAACTGCCTCCAGGTTGGTCCTTTACTTGGGATCAACCCTTGGTATAGATCCTCTTTGAGTCTTGTTCTAATGAGAAGAAAAAATGATTCTTTTCTCCGAGTCTCACACTGCTCATAAAGATGTTTCTGAGTCGTCAGCCTCAAATGATGTCATGTCTATCTGTGTAAATCTCATAAATACCCAGTCACTAACTAATTTTCCACTTATTGATCACAGTATTCTCACTCATTATTACCCTTGCTTCCTCCTCCTCCTCCTCCTCCTCCTCCTCCTCCTCCTCCTCCTCCTCTTCTCTCTCTCTCACTCCCTCCCTCCCTTCCTCCCTCCATCCTTCCCCCCCCTTTCTCTATCTCCCCAACCACTCTCTATCTCACCAACATAGGGGACTTTCATAATGATCACAATGTATTCCTTAAATTGTGATGTATTTCCTAAAGCCAAACTAGAAGCCAATAATTAAGCTCTTTATGTACCCCTGGTAAGAAAACTCTGTTTAAGTATAAATAAAAATGGCATGAACTATTTGGGGTCACTTGAGTGGAATCTACTTTGTGGTCAGAGTTTTCTTTGCACTGACACCCCTTTTCTGCCTCAGGACCTGAACTCAAGCTGAGGCTGGACTCTGGCAAGGTTTATTCAAGCTCACCTTTCCCACCTATGCCAATTCATCGTGCAATATCTTTTCTATCAATAGTTAATAGCATTCTAACTTGGCAGGGTGACACCAGCATGGCTTTGCTAGAAACAGCTTAATATTTATATATCTTCTTTTGTTTGTAATAGAAACTCCCTTGACCCCCAGAATTCTATTTTACATCTCTTCCTCCAGTGCCCCCTCTCCCCTTACTGCGTCTTGTTATGGTTGTGGCTAGTTCCCATTCTTCAACTTTTATCTACTCAGGGCATAGCAAGGCACACAGAAAACCAAGACTCTCCAGGCAGGAACATGGAAGAAATTGGAATGCATCACCCTCTCAGGGTGTGCTGGGTAGACAGAGTTCCAAACAGGAGCTAGAGTTGAGAATCTACCGTTTACTTTTCTTAATCTAGAGGCAGTAATTAAATTAACTCAAACAAATCACTGTGGTCTAACTTTTATTTCCTACCATACAGTTAGCTAATATCTGACTGCCTCAAACACGATATTTCTCCTAAGACACTAGTGATTACACTACAAATCATTTACTGTAATCTTTCAGATTCATAGCAGCATTTTCTTACTATTCAAAATTCATCCACTTGTCCTTGATAAACACATCTGGAGTCTAGAATAAAGAGAAAATCATAACAGCAACTTTTCTAAAGAAAGTGTTGGCTGCAAGACAGCTACAGAGAGTGAGCTTCTGCTTGTGAAAGAGGAGATATTCTGAAAATGCCTCTACCTCTGTTGATCCTGTGAAGGACACTTTGTCGATGTCCATGTGTGAGGAGATGGCTGCCCCTGCAGTTGGTCCATAACCAGGGACAACATTCACCACACCAGGAGGAAATCCTGCCTGCAAGATAAGAAGCAAGCAGTTAATAAAACAAGAACTTAATTCATAAAATACCTGAGTGGGGAAATTGGAGCTATTTCTTTATGCTCACTGTGGGGATTATTCTCTCAAGAAAATGCACCTAAGTGTATCTGTCCTTTATTCGTTACTGTCTTTAATTTCTTATCTATATGAAATTATTTCTAAATGTGGTAATCCCTTAGGACACTATTTTCTACGGACAAATCTGTCCACATTGGCTTATTAATTGCTTCACATTTGCTATGATAAAATATTGACCAAAACAATCTTGGGAAGGAAGGAATTTATCTGGTTTATAGGTTATGTCTATTATTGAGGAAATCCAAGAACCTGGAGCCAGGAACTAAAGCACAGACCACAGAGAAACTATATGCACTACCTTATTTTCTCTGGCTCAACTACCTCTCTTATGCAGTTAGGCCAACCTGCCTAGGGATAGCACTGTCCACCGTGGGCTGGGCCTTACTACATCAATCAGTGATCAAGGATAAACCCCACAGACGTGGCCACAGTCCAATCTGAGGAAGACAATTTCTCAGATGAGGTACCCGCTTCCTAGCTTTGTCACGTTGACAACAAAATTGCAACAACTGATCACTCCAATGATTGCATCAAATTTTATAAAAGAAACTCCGATAGAATATCAGAGTGTATGTTAAGTTACCTATACAGAAAGACAGATTTTACAGTCACCACCATCAAAACTAGAAACATATTGAAACAGCAGGCATATTGGCAGAGAAGCCTCCAACATTTAAAGATATTAAAACTAAAATAACTTCAAAGAAGTTTACAGAAGCAAACAGGCAAGTTATAAGCTAGATAATGAAGATAAAACTTAGTATTTCACCATTTGAAAAAAATGCTACATTTCCTAATTAACTTAGATTCATGAAATTTGAACAATGTAAGTGACCCTTTACAGAGTGACTGGCTATGAGCCTCTGTCATTATTTAGAAAGACACACATTTCACTGACAAAAGTTGCAGCCTGTAGTTCGGCTGCTTTCTTCTGAACAACTGAACAGGATCAGCGTGTGATCAGTGAAGCTCATAGTGATGAGACTGAGGCTGCAGGTGAACAAGGAACCCTGAATTCACCAGCACATTCAGACTCTGGAGACTTACCTCTTTTACTAAAGATGCCATATGAAGAGCAGTGAGAGGGGTTTGCTCTGCTGGTTTGACAATCACTGTGTTCCCACAGGCAAGGGCAGGGGCTAACTTTCCAGTGAAAACGAACAAGGGACCATTCCACTATAAGGCAAAATTGAACAATGGACTCTTTGTATCCCTTGAAACTACATTTGTTATTAATACTTGTCACGCTGATATCATTTGACTAGTATTGTAGAAGTTGCGTATAATTTTAGTTTATTTTACCTAAGTTTGAAAAAAAACTACAAAATGTTAAAAAAAATAAAAGCTCAAAACAAGCTATGTAGCAGAAGGGAGCTACCAAATGCAATCAAGTCTTATTATTCTGAACTGTGATTTTACAAGAAAATGCTACTTCATGGCTTCACATATAGTTAAGCATGTTGTAATTTACTTTTGTTTTAAAAGTGTGAAAGCCTCTCCCTCTTTCTTCCTAAGAGGCACTTATGCTATTTTATCCAATATAATAATTCCCGAAAAATCCACATCCAGGAGATTTTGTGTGTATGTGTGCTAGGGAGTGATCCCAAGGATATAAGAATATTGAATGTGTTCTCCACACCAGTGAGCTAGGTTTAGTCCAGGGGAAAAAAAATTGTTAAAGGCAAAGAGGTGTCAAATTCCCATCTCGATGGTGAGTGTTTGAGTTCAGATCATCCCAGCAAACCTGCTGGCCAGATGAAGAAATAAAATATGTGACTGCTTCTTCTCTATTTAAGGCATTCGCCACCCGGGAGTCCTGAAAACAGTCCAATCTACTTTAGATGGATGTCTTAAGGATTAATCAAGAAACTCAGGGTTATGGCATAGCACACATCTCTGTATCATGTGTGAAGCCCAGTGTTCGATCCCCAGGAAAGAAAACAGGACAAAAGGGGGAAGATTTAAGTTTAAACTTTTTCAATAGTCCTAGTTGGTAGAGTGATGTAGACATGGTTGAGTGTTTTTTAAGCCTTTGAAGTACTGAACAGTTTCATGAGTACATTGGTATGTTCAGTCTTACTAAAAGAGAGTGACTGTCATTCCAAAGCCTTTGGGATACTTCACAGTATTTTAATTTAGCCATTTAAACTATGTCAGCTGTATGTGGTCAGTGTCCTGTGTTAACGTTCAAGAAAATCCAGAACATGATTTTTTGGAAGAAGAATATTGACTACCCAAATGTGCTACCTAAAGTTAAATATAGGCCACATACTTTCCCAATAGTTATAGAGATTATTCCTTCAACTAAAATTTAAAAAAAAAAATTCAGGATTTAAAAAATCTTGCTTCAGTTACTGTCCACAGTGGAAAGTCTCTAGGAGGAGACAGCAGTGATGGGAGCTGAGTTCCATAGAAATGTTCAAACATGGATGAGCTGTGAGAAAGCTTTGTCATATAGTTACAGAAGCACAGCTCATGAAACCAGAGCAAAGCACAATTTCCCGACAAAAAAAATGCAGTAAAGCTTATTTGTCAATATTGAAGCATCCTCAAAGGTTAAAGCATTATATTGAGGGGTTTCTGGACAAGACAGCTCATATCGGAGAAGTTAAATTATAGGAATGAGTGCTTCAAGTAGTCAGGCTTATTGAATTTACTTCACGCATAATCATCACATACGCTTCACTTGTGTGGGAATGGGCTTCAGATGAAATGGAATCACAGCTCTCTTTCCCTATCGAAGTCATGAAGTAAAACTTACGGGGATGATTTGGCCACACACCCCAATAGGCTCACGTCTTGTATAAGTGAAAATATCTCCATCTGAAAAACAGAGCAAACACTCCGTCCAATAAAGACAAATGCAGGATCCACTCAGACAGAATGATGTGCTGTTGGTGGGAGAGGAGGTTCACAGTGAGTAGCAAAAGGGAAACAAAACATCCTGTCTACAAGGTTAATCACATGAGCAATGAAGCTCTCAAACAGCAATTTCATTCTAAAGACCCAGGTACAGGAAAATAAGTGCCAGGATCTGGGAAGATCCATAGGCTGTTAACTCCATTCCTTGTATTCCAAAATGGCTGCCTTCTACATCACTCTCATACACAGAGTGGTGTGGTGCAGAAAGGAACTGGGAGGTGAGGTCCCCTCTAGATAAATGTAGAACCACACACAAAAGTTCCCAGTACTCAAATGTCCTAGGAGCTCCAACTTTTAAACAGGTACATGATTTAAAATAGTAAAACTTTCCCAAGGAGCAAAAAGTCTTTCTCTTGGAATTGTTATAGTTTTGGGGTTTCCTTTTTCCTACTAAACATAAATGCAATCTCTTATTCGATTAATGAAATATTTGAAATGACATGTTGTTGAAATAAGAGCGGCGGGGCTGCGTCCCCAACACCCCGGCCCCTTGGCTAGCTTATGCCCGAAATAACAACACACAAATGGTATTCATTTAAGAACTGCTTGGCCCATGAACTCTAGCCCTTACAGGCTAACTCTCGCACTTGGACTAGCCCATTTCTAATGATGTGTGTAAGCACCCCAAGGTGCGCTTACCGGGAAGATTCTAGCCTAAGTCCATCGTGGGTTGCAGCTGCCTGGGAGAGCAGAGCATGGTGGCTGTCCGGTCCCTCTGGAAGCAGCGCAGAGTCTGACCTCACTTCCTCTTCTGCCCAGAATTCTATTCTGTTTACTCCTCCCATCTATGTTCTAACCTATCAGGGCCAGCCAAGCAGTTTCTTTTATTGCTCAGCCAATGAAATCAACAGATTGATATGACACTCCCACATCTTTTCTATCTTAATTTCACTTATTCTTCTGCCTCCCTATCAACACAAACCTAAATATATCTTGGAAGAGGAAAACTTAGGTGCGAAAATGCTCCCATGAGATTGTTCTGTAGGTAAGTGAATGCAACATATACTCAATTATTGTTGGACCCGTGATGGCTGGGCAAACTATGAGTAGTGCCAAACCTTGGCAGATGATCCTGGATTGCATAAGAAATCAGCCTGGGCAAGCCATACAAAGTAACCCTATAGTACATTGTATTTGTCCATGGCCTCTTCTTCAGTTACTGCCTCTAGATTTCTGCCCTGAATATAGTATGGAAATACAAGGGAAAGAGATCATTTGTTCACAAGTTGCTTTTGTTCATAGTGTTTTATCACAGCAAATACTCACTATGATGTGGTCCCATTTGGAGTTTTGCTGTTGTATGTTTTGTTCTAGCTTCCACAGGAACCTAATGCTAGCACACAACCACTTTCCCTGTCCAGATCTACAGGTATTCTGAACAGCTTCCTCTATGTTTCCCAAGAGAAGAATAAGAGCTACAAAATAGCCTGGTTCATAGTACCCCTGTTGTCTCATTCTATTCTTATATCTTCTAAGGATATAAGAAGCTAATATATCTTATACTGTATCTTCCAGTTGAGTGGAAGTGCACATCAGAGGAAAAACTTGAAGTGGATTATTTGGGTTCCTGAAGTCATTGTAGATAGAGATGTGAAACTGCCTCCAACCCTTCCCAAACCGATTCTTTTCTCACATGACATATTGTCTTGTGTCTGTTCTGCTGCTTGCATACCCCACTGAGCAATACACCACACTTCCGTGCAAAGATTCTTAATCCTGCTGGTAATTATAGTCTCATCTTGTTTTGATGCTTTTGGAACACATTAGTATATATAGGGTTGTTGAAGTATTTTGGACTATGGATACTGGGCACAAATCAGCACAGCTTACTCATTCCAGACATGCAAAGTCTTAGGTAATAATATTACAGAAAGAATACAAATGTCATTATGGGAATGGCACTCAATAAATATTTTCTGTGACCATTTTCAAAACTTGGGACCCTAAGGCATCTCACTCAAATTAGTAGGTGAGTCTATGACAATGTTCTTACTTGAATTCTGTCTATACTATCCACAGTGTTTACTCTTAACAGAACATCCAGCCACCAGAAATCTTTTGGGTCAACGTGAAAAGTAAAGTAATTATTTACCTAGTTGATAGGCACATTTGTCAGGGAGAATTTGAGGGTTTTAGTTCTGCATGAATGGCCTCCACTTCTGCCATCATGCAGGTAGTTTCCCAACTGTACTTACCACTTGGTATTGTTTGGCCATGGATCTTGTCAGCCCAGCCTGCGCAGTACTTTAATATTTTTATGCTTACTTCTAAATCCATCGTGTATGCATGAGGAAATACTTTTCCAGCATTCATTGATTCCATTGTCTGAAAAATAGGTAGTAGTATCAAAGTCTAAACATTCAACAATAGAAATTACATCAAGAATATACAGTCAGTGATTTTAGTAATTACGTACTAGAATTTTAGAAATATAAGGATTCTTAAATCTAATGTTCCCATGAAAGCAACTTAATAAAGAATTAAATGGCTTGCTTGTGGTCACATAATAAGATCCTGATGAGAGAGGTAGTGACATTCTGATAGCCTGATCCCACTAATCTTTCTGTTAAATTCTAAGTACCTCTGGCTAAGCGTGTCTAAAAGCTGGTTACATGAATACTAAACTGTGAAAATGATTCTTAGTCTCCACATCCTATCAGAGTTCCAACAAGTTTGCACTTGTCATCTGATTGTAACAACAATTCAAGGTCTGCATCTATGTACAATGTCACTATCACCATCCTATTCCTCTCATGTATAAATGGTCTGCTCGTACAATTGTGATATCCATACTTGTGTGTTCACACTATCGCAACACCTCCATAGCAAAGAATTTAACTAGTAACCCCTTGTTTGGGAAATATTGTCATAAGTATTTCATTAATTCCTCCTCTCAGGGCTCAATGACCACCATGGAAGAGAAGGCAGAGAAGGTATACGAGCCAGAGAAGATGGAAGATGCCAGGAGGATGAGGCCCTTTAAAACAGTTGAAACCTCTACACGAGGTACACATGATCTCACAGATTGAAGCAGAAAGCATGGAGCCTGTTGATCTGCACCACATCCTCAGCAAATATATTAAAGCTTCTAGCTTCTCATTTTATGGGATCCCATGACTGTGAGGACAAGTGAGTCTCTGATTCTTCATGCCTGCTCTTGGGGCTCCTTTCCTTCTGCTTGTTTGCTGTGTTCAACTTCAATATGCTGGTGTTTACGTTACTTAATTATATTTTATTTTTTTCATGTTTGGTTGTATCTCTTAGAAACCTGTCCTTTTCTAATGAGAGACTGCAAGCAGTGGATCCGCATGTTGGGGGGCAAGGAACTGGGAGCAATAGAGGGAGGGGAAATAAAATCAGAATATATTGTATGAGGAAAGAATCTATTTTAATAAAAGGAAAAATAAAAGATTATGAAGTTCCACACTTTCCTATCTTAGCAGTATCTTCTCCTCACCCTTTTATGCAGACTTTAAAGGATGCTTTGATATCATACGATCCCTTGGGTGTCACCTGGCAAGATGCACAGATTTGATATTGTCTACTATCTTAAATTAATGCAAATGTTACTTCATATTTATTCTTCTATCCCTATTGTTCTCAAGCTGACAGAGAAAGTTAAGACTTTTCACTCTGCAATTAAGACAAATGAAAAGAAATAAGCTTTGGGAAATGTCAATTACTTTCAATAGATTATTTTCTCTACTACAGAGCTCTGAAATATATTTTGGCATGTCTTGAACAATGCAGAATCCCAAAAGAATAAGTGATTTTTAATAATTGATGAATTGCTAATATTTTAATAAAATTAAGGCTTGAATCTTATTGTTTCCTAACATTCTAACGCTAATAATATTTACTCTGAATTGTAAGCTGTGTAACAGTTTGTTTTCATTTGACTTTACTAAAATTCAAAGCTGAAAAGATTAGGAACTATACCCTCCACCCATATTCTGTACTGCCTTACCTAACTATTGAAAGTAAAATATATATATATAGGTCCTGAGTGCATAAAAAGATTTCATGAGTATAGCAAAGCTGGGTTCTGGGCTCTGAGAAGTTCTAGAAAAAAGGCAGGAGCAAGTTTGTCAGTCTGGCTCTCAATCAAACTGACCATCCAGTTGGAACTATGGATGCACCCAGGAGCTTCCCCACTGTCTCCCTTTGGTGTAAGTTAATACTCACAGTCAGCAGTAGACGGTCTCTTTCCATTAAGTCAGCCAGCTTGTTCAGCAGCCGCCCCCTCTCTGAAGCATCCATGGTGCGCCATGTGGAGCCAATCTGAAAAGCCTGTCGTGCAGCCTTCACGGCTTTGTCCACATCTGCCTGGAAGTCACAGAAGATTCAGTACAACTCCCTTGCCTGGATCATAAAATTTGATGGATGGCTAAGACGGCAATGCACGGCCTCTGAACAAACTATGGTCTGATACCCAGTGTGAGTGTCAGGTACCAAAAGCTCCTTGTCTCAGCTGGGCCCTTGCTATTGTCCAGCCTACTGGGCGGCCGGCCCATATACATGCTCACCTGTCTGAACTGCTCTTTTCTGTTCTAGACCCAGTCTGGCCTTTGATCTTGCAGTTGAGCTTTGCTGCTTCTCTGTTCACTTGACACCTGATCTTTCTATGAGAGAGGCAGTTGTCACTAAGCACAGAACAGATCAGTGCTCACTGGCAAGGCTGCTGGGTTGGTCACCAGTTTTCCCATCTGTGCCTTCTGGAGAAGGTAAACCTCACTCACTCCCCTACCAAAGTTCTCAGCCTGCCTGACAAAGATTCTAGTGAACCCAGGTAGAGAGTTGTTTTCCTGATGGAACTAACACCAGTATCAGAGCAAAATGTCCCATAGGAGCTAAATGTTCAAGGCTTCAATGTTAAAGCATTGATAATATGACTTTTTGTTACCTTATATGTACAGACTCATAGTCTTCTTTTTTAGTGTCATTTTATTCTCAAGGAGAAGGCATAATTTGCTGAGTTAGATGTAGTGTTACAACTGTTTGTGCTGGAGAATATTTGTTTAATTATACAAAGATTTATTGCATTCTTCTACGTTGCATTTGTTTAACTCTGTGAAGCTGTTACTTTGCCTGTCTAAAACACCTGATTGGTCTAATAAAGAGCTGAATGGTCCATAGCAGGGCAAGTGAAAGGACAGGCAGGACTTGCAGACAGAGACAATAAAAAGGAGGAGAAATCTCAGGGGAAAGGTCAAGGAATAAGAAAAGGAGCAGAGAAGGATGCAAGGGGCCAGCCACCCAGCTACACGGCAAGCCAAGGAGTAAGAAGTTAAGAAAGAACCATGGGATAAAGATAAAAGATCAGAGGCAAAACAGAGTTGGGATAATTTAAGCTAAGGAAAACTGGCTAGAAACAAGCCAGTTAAGACCAGAAAGAATAAATCTCTGTATATTTATTTGGGAACTGGGAGGTGGGCCCCCCCAAAGAACCAAAGAGCCAAGAGCCAAAGAGGTATTAAAAATTTTTAAAGAAACTACAGACAGGCACCTAAAGTATGTTATTATTACTAAATATTATTAAAACTCCATGCCGCATACTAAATGCTAATGCTAACCCTTAAGAAAAGAGACAAGCATTTAAAAATTAATACTTCTTTATGCTACAGTAGCCTCAGAACATTAACATTTTGAACGCCACCTCCCTATTCTAGATTCTCAGGTAACATTAGAAATGCTAACATCAGATGTATAGCCTGTGGGTTTTTTTTAATTTATTGTTTTTTGGTCTCTTGATATTTTGCTTTTTTTTAAGTTCTTGTGTATTATATATATTTATTCTCTACCAGATGTATATGAAACAATTTCTTATGCCAAGGACAACAGAACATTTACCCAACTGTATGAGCAGCCACGTTTTCATGTCTTTCACTGAACTTGCAGTGGGCTGTGAGCTCAGAATGGTGAGAAACAAAGATTTCTGGTGTGAACTGGCCCTGCAGGTGTTGGAAAACTCACCTTGTCCCCTTCTTCCACATGGCAGATGATCTCCTCAGTTGCTGGGTTAATAACAGGAAATTTCTTGCCACTCACTGAATCATGCCATTCATTGTTGATGAAGATCTGTGGGGATGCAGCAATGCAGACAAAAAGCATTTAAATACGCACTATGGTGAAGGGTTTGATAAACTAGAGTTGAGGCATTAAGTGCTGCCCAAATATTATATGGCTTTTTCTGTCTAAGAAATGCTTAGATGTGTGTCATTTAACACCAAAAAAAAAAAAAAGAAAAAAAAATAGAGGTTAGACAACTGGGAATTTAGGTGTGTGTTACTAGGGACATAGTAACTAGGAGAGGCACCAGTAGATCCCTGGAAGTGTTCTGAACTTGGGTTTTATTAAGAAACTGTTTTTATGTGCATTTGACTCCATTTCTTCTTCTGTATAAAAAAAAATCTTAGCCTTGTAATAGGGCCATTGTGTGAAAGGTAACAGAAGCCTTGTGGCTTTTTCCTTGTGCACAAAAATATTACTAGCTACTGACACGTTTGTGAGCTTGGAAAGTACTGTCCCTTGCTAACTTAAATTCTCTAAAGATTGCGCATTTTTATTTACACATATGTGTTTTTCCTTGTGAGTTTCATATGCATGCAGGTGCAGGAGGACAGAGGGCCTTGGCTGCCTTGGAACTGGAAAGTGGTTAAGGTGTGTGAAATAAGAAAGGAGAAATAAGAGCCAAATCCCAGGAAACAAACTGGGATCCTTCACTCCTGAGATCCTTGGAGAACACTCAGAACTTCTCTCTGATCACGTCTCTGTCAGACAAGACATGACTGTGCAAGACAGACTGACTGAAAATTAGGAGAAAATGAGAGGAAAATGATACGGTGGGAAACAGATCTGGAAAAAGTCAGGTACAACTATTCTAGAAGTTAAAAACTATTCAGAAAAAAAATACACCAGGGCTAAAATAGCTAACATAGACTATTCTCTATGAGCCAGTTCTTGCCTCAAGCGCTTCTTTACCAATCGAATGCTCTGGTTGTTATACCCCCTCAGGAAATGGGGCGCCTCCTCATCCTTTATCAATGGTAAGAAGGCAGAGGCAGGTGGAGGCAACTGGCCAGTGGCCCTGTCACGTTCAAATGAGCTCCTCATGCTGAAGCTCTGTAGCAGGAATGGAGGGCACGTGGAGCATTTCTTCACTGCTCCTAAGAAGTTATGGACAGAAAGTTGATGGGTGCACTTGGATTTATAGAGTTATAAAGACTTCCAATACAAATGATCTGCATTTTCTTTGAAAGGAAAAATAATTCTTAAACACTGAACTCTGTTTTACCTATTCCCGTCAAAGAGGATCTGAACTATGAGATGAGACCTGGATAGGAGAGGCAATGATACAGCGGTGGCTTGTTTTGTGTGCAGAAAACAAAACAAAACAAAAAAAAAACCATTCTGAAAGTTAAGATTATGTGACTTTCTGACTATACCTGTTTTTCTATCACTTTTTGTTATTAATCTGCTTTTTCGTTCCTTTCCTTATGCACTAAACATTGTTAGAGTAGGAAAAAAAAATCTCCTGGTCGAGAATAGAATCTCAGACCTGGGTGAAGACTTAACATTAGAGTTGGAATGGTTCAATCAATTTGGACAGTAGACCACTCCTAGGAAGCTGGGCTCCCCTTACCCAAAACAAAGAGATAAGGAGAATAATTAGTCCTTTAATGAAATACTGTACTTTTTCTTCCCAGAAAACCCACTCCTAATGCATAAGTTTGGACCAAAGTACTGTAGGATAATAAATCCAATCGCTCTTCTGAATTATTTAGAAAAGATTAAATAAATTCCCCTTTTCCTCTTTCTATATCTCTTCTGAGAATGCTTTTCTTAACAGTTTGATCTTTTCTCCCAACAGTTTGAACTTCCTTATTCCTTCCCCCAAAACTTCCCTGCCCATGGTGTGTCTCTTTGTTGGCCCTGTGCTCCATTTCAGTCAATGTCTGAATGATGAGAATGTTCCCCTCCTCCTCCAGTCTTCTACTCTGAGCAGCTGCTGAGGTTTCACATCTGGTTTACACTAGGGTTTTCCTTCTAAGTTCCAATAATAGGCCTCCAAATTCTATTTGATTCTCTTCATAAATTATTCCATCAATGAATCTGAGAACCCCAAGAAATAACCCGGAATTTCCCTGACATCAATACTATATACCTCATACAATAATAAAGAAAAAACCTAAAACAGTGAGAAATATAATACAAAAAATTGAGACACTGATCAGACAAAGCAAATTGACAAATATTTCTCACCCTTGCCTTCCTGGTTTGCAACTAGAAACTTATTTAACAGTCATTATTTCAACCCCTCTTTAGAGTGAAAATCAAATATAATTCTCCAGGAGATGCAGTAAAGGAACATGAAGAGGGATAGAGAAAGCTCCGCAATGAGATTTAATTGCATACATAGCTGGTGTCTTCCCATGGGTGACAATGCTGTAACCAGCACATCAAATAATATAATGCTTAATAAATAGACCAAACTTACATATAAAATCAAAATTCACTGAATGGTGTTGCTTATTATTAAGTAGAAACGTGTTTGAACATCAAATAAATGTGTTCTTGACTCTTAAATACTCAGTCTCTCCATTCTCCCTAGGATGTCTTTATGAACTATGTGCAGTGAAGAAGTTTCAGTCTGGAAATATCGCTCTGTGTTAAGGGATTACTGGTCCTACCTGCATTTGTACATGGTACTTTTAGGAATAACTTATTTTTCTAGTACTTTCACCTCATTTTTAATTAATAAGTGTTAAATGAAATAACCCAGAGAAAGGACAGCTCACTTTAAAACTTCCTTGAGATAGACTAACACACACACACATACAAACACAATCTTAGGAAAATTCATAAAAGACAAATGAAACGGGGGGCTTTCAAAATACTTTTCCATTTGAAATCATACAAACCAAACTTTTCTTAGTGATTAAACTGTAACTATATAAACAGTGGATAGTTCCCATCTTCTTGGAATTCCTGATTTGTAGATTGTGACAGGTATTTCTTCCAAATGATAAGAGGGTCAGAGTCTATGGAGTGCACACACTTTGCCAGCTTGTGAGCTGTTGGAGAGTGTGCACACATCCTAGTTCATATATTCTCCTTTGTCAAAACCTATACTGAAAGCATTTTCTGTCCAAGAAAGCCTGGTGAAATCAGCCTCAGGGCATGTCTAGCTGCTCATGGACCATAGCTTAGGTCCACTCCTTTCTACAGACCAGAGCCTAAGCAAAGAGCCCTTAAACCAGGCAGCTCCCTCACTTCAGGTACTTGGGAAAATGCAAAAGGCTTCAGGGATTCGAAAGCAACTACATTTGCTCACAAAGAAAACGAAACAGATAAGAGAAGACATCAGGTCTGCTCACTAACTTTACCACTCTCTAATTCCCTTGTTTGGTTCAGAACCCAGCATGGTTTTCCCCAAAGTCGAATAGTTGGTTTCTCCCTTTGTTTTCTGCATCAGGCCATAACACAGCTAATTTTAAGTGACTTTCCCAATGACTGATTGGATGTGTGTCTGTGTGTGTGTGTGTGAGAGAGAGAGAGAGAGAGAGAGAGAGAGAGAGAGGGGTTAATTTTGGAATCCTAAGATATGTAACAGAAGTAGGCATGAAACTGTTCAGTAGGTAAAATGACGAGAGTCCCTCAGGATAAGCCCAGCCTAATCATGTGCCCTCCCTGGCTGCAGATTTCCAAGCCTGGGTCAGATTCCTGCTCTTGTGTCTCTAAATATTTAGCAGTTAACAATGGAATATTTTTTCCTACAACAGTAAGCCTGCTTGGAGAAATAATCAACTACTATTTCTATCTCAAAATAAGAAAAATAGTTCAGTTCCATTTGGGGGTTTTGGCAGCAGCCTCCATATAAAGTCCAGGGTTAAGTCCTCCAACCTTAACACTGTCAACAAACATAAAGCCATATTTTCCAGTTCCACTCTGCTATTTTGAGAGATAGAGCCAGAGAGAGAACTTCCCATGTGCCTGGCTCCTTCTAGTAAGTTCCTCTGTTTGTCTCATCATAAGTGCTCACTGCACAGGGTTAATAGACCTGCTGCTCACTCTGGTTTGCTGCCTCTGGCACAAGTATCACTCACATAGAGCACAATCCTTTTCCCTAGGATGTGTATCTTATGAGAAGCTGTCTGAAATGGCTTAGAATTCACCACTGAATCAGGCCACTCGCTTTGCAAGCTTTTTGTCTTTCTGTCTGCAAAGAAGCCCCAATCAACCATGCTTTAACCAGGACCCCTGGGAAAGCCCCACCTGCAAGTAAGTGTCTTTCTTACCTTGGTATACTGAATCTTCAAGTCGTTCAGCGGGGCAGGGATTTCAGGTTGTGCAGGGGAAGACATTGCTGGTTTGGCTCCTGGAACACTGGTGACAAGCTTAGCAGTCTGGTTCTGTTAGGGCACTTGCTCCTTTTTATCTACATGCACTAAGGGTCATTTGCATATTAGGATATGATTGGATGGGCAGACTCAGGGCAGAGAGAACACTACTCTCTTGTAACATCTGAGGCTGGCAGGGAGCCTTTGCCTTTAAATGTGAGTCCTTAAGGAACCTGCACTTCAGCCCTGAAGTTCCATCTGGAGACTGCTCACTATTTACAGATGAATTAATTCACCAGGCCAAACCTGTGCTAAGAGAATACTTGACCAGGAGCTCTGGACACTGGAAGCCAGTTATCATTTTCTAAGTTTTTCATGACTTTTTAGGTTACCATGTAACTTTCCCTTCTCGGATAGACTGTGAAGTAAAGAAGAAAAGGTTCTGTTATCAATAGCAGCTGAGGGAGAGATATACAATATTATTTTAAGATGTATGAAATTTGGTTTTGTTGTGGAACATTTTTTTATTTTATTAGATTTTTTTAAAAAGTACCAAATCCAAGTTCCCACTCCCTCTCTTTCTCCCATTCCCTCCACACACCCTCTTACCCTACTCCTATCTAATCCTCAGAAAGGGTAAGGCACATTGCTTTGTGGAAGGTCCAAGGCCCTCCCTACTATATATAGGCTGAGCACGTATACATCCAAAGAGAATGGGATTCGAAAAAGCCAGTACATGCAGTAGGGATCAATCCTAGTGGCACTGCTGGTGGCCCCTCAGTCTGTCCCAGCCACATAACTCTCAGCCACATTCAGAGGTTCTAGTCTGATCCTATGCTTGTCACTTCCCAGTCCGGTTGGAGTTGGTGAGCTCACATTAGCTCAGGTAGACTGTTCCAGAAGGTGATCATGGTCTTGACTTCTTTGTTCATGTGCTCATTCCTTCTACTCTTCATCTGAACTTTGGGAGCTCAGTCCAATGCTCTAACTCTCTGTCTCAATTCTAATTCCAGTTCTCTGTTAGACACTCTGTTCCAGTTCATTCTTGTTCTAATTACTCTGCATTCTTTTTTCTTCTTTGTTATTCTACATTTTTATCCTTCTACATTCATTTCTCTTCAATCTTACTTCTTCTCCATTACGAACTCATATATATATA